AAAGACTAACAAAGCAACGAAATGGCTATCTCACGGAATAAAAATATGCAGTAAGAAACAAAGGCACTTACTCTGGGCATACAGATTAAATCCTGACGCAAAGAATAAAATAGCTTTTAAAAACTATACCAAACTCTATAGAAAAATTATCAACCTTACCCAAAAAGCGCGAAATAACCATTTTATAAAAACCTCTCAAAATAAATCTAAGGCTACTTGGCAAATAATAAACAAATCAAAATTGTGTTTGCCACAGGAGCCTATAATGTATATAAAAAAAGAAAATTTGTCTTTTACACACCCCATGGCGATTGCAAATGCATTTAACAATTATTTTATTGATGAAATTGAAAATAATGTAAACTATGACATCACATTGAATAGTATTAGTTTTGAAAATTTGACATTGAATTCACTATTTATGGAACCTGTATCAATTAATGACATAACAAGAATAATTTGTGGTCTAAAAAACACGAATACTGTTGGATATGATGGCTTGTCTACAAAAGTGATTAAATACACCAAGGAAGTAATAGCCCCACCATTAGCACATATAATTAACTTAAGTATTACTGATGGCGTATTTCCAAAAAAATTGAAAAAAGTTATTATTAAACCCCTATATAAAAAAGATGACAAAACAGATTTAAAAAATTACAGACCTATTGCAAAAATTCCTATATTCTCAAAAGTTTTTGAAAAAGTAATTTATAACTCTTTATACACCTATTTCGAAAAGTATAAATTATTTTGTAAAGAGCAAAAAGGGGTTCCGAAAAAATACTAATATCAATGTGGCACTGTATGACTTACTAGCTAATATTATGACATCTGTAGATAAGAGAAATCCAGTCTGTGCCATTTATACTGACATGACCAAGGCTTTTGATTATGTAGACCACAAGATCTTGCTAAACAAATTACATGGTTATGGTATAAGAGGAAACATTCTTCAGCTCTTAGAATCGTACCTAAGTAATAGAATCCAATGCACAGAAATTTCTAGAATATGTCCAAAGAGTAAATTAGAAACTACATATTTATCGAAACCAAGGCACATTAAATACGGGGTTCCACAAGGTAGCGTACTAGGGCCACTACTCTTTTTAATATATATAAACGATCTACCAAAAATAACGTCACACAAAATGGTTCTCTTTGCAGATGACAGCACAGCTATAATAAAGTGTGCAAATGAAATTAATTATGAAAGTGATATAAATACCTGTTTACGCGAAATTATAGAATGGCTTAATAATAATAATTTAAAAATAAATTTAAATAAAACAAAAGTTATGCACTTTCATCAACGCCGTGAAAACCCAAACATTATCATTTCCTACCAAGGCTTTAATATTGAAGAAGCAAATATGGCGAAGTTCTTAGGTATAGTGATTGATAATCAACTCACTTGGAAGCCTCATGTTGAGGATCTATGCAAACGACTCGGCAAATCCGCATATGCGCTTTCTCAACTTTCAAAAAAGGTTAACAGCCAGGCTCTTTTGATAGCATACCATGGACTAGTTGCTTCCGTTTTGCGATATGGCATCATTTTCTGGGGACAGTCTTCTGAAAGGGAGCTTGTATTTAGGATGCAAAAACGATGTGTAAGGTCAATGTGTGGTCTCAAAATAACAGATAGCTGTTTTCCTTATTTTAAATACTTAAAAATCCTAACACTGCCGTCATTGTATATACTGGAAACAGCTATTTTTGTAAAAAAGCATCCATTTCTTTTCCAAAAAATATCTGATATTAGAAAGAATCCAATACGCACCCACTACAAAAATATGTTATGTAACATAAAATGTAAAACATCATTAATGAAAAAAAAGCTTTTTTGGTATTGCCCCACAAATTTATAATAAACTAACTGATTCAATAAAAAATATGACCTTATTTAAATTTAAAAAGGTGCTGAATGACTTATTAATAGACAAATGTTACTATAAAATTGACGAGTTCTTGAATGAAAATTTTGACTAGTTACTTTTTACTGAATATTAAATTTTTTTTTTGTTATTGTAATCAATTTAATTTTATAAATGTAGAATTTTCATTAGTATTCCAATTTCAATTATTTCTATTCTATTTTATTTTATGACATGATTTTTCAAATGAACTCAATTATATTTGTATGTCTTTAAGACAAAACATATATTGTATTTGCACACCTCATAAGGTAATAATACAGTGTACATATTATAACTTTTCTGTAACACCTTTTATACCTGTGTTATGCAAATAAATGAATTTGAATTTGAAATTTGAATTTGAATTTGAAAAATTTGAAATTTGTGCTGCGCCTGATTCGACGCATTCCTGTGGTTCTGGTCGATGGAGGTATACAATTAACATCTTAGTGCCGGTGGTAAGCGGGTTTGTTGTAGCAATACGGCTTTCCCGTGGACATCGCACACCCATACCGTTTGTGGGCGACGTCGTTGCGCATAGCGATGTGTCGTCTATCTTTCGGATTGGGATGATGAGTGTGTTTGGTAGCACTTTTAAGTGTAACAGGCATACTCAACTTCATGTCTTAGTGCATTAGCGCTATGATACGTGGAGTTTTGTTCATTGGCGTCTTAGTAGCGTGCTACTATGATACGTTGGTGATATTTTTTATATAACAACAATACAAACTTTGTTACCAAAGTCGATAGGGATCATGTGGGTGTGTTGTGAGGGGGCGCCACCCGTATGATAGTTGCATTGATGCTTACTGCTACTTGCGGTATTGCGTCTTGTGATGGATCTGCGGGTGTGCTGCGCCTGATTCGACGCATTCTTGTGGTTCTGGTCGATGGACGTATACAATTAACATCTTAGTGCCGGTGGTAAGCGGGTTTGTTGTAGCAATACGGCTTTCTCGTGAACATCGCACACCCATACTGTTTGTGGGCGACGTCGTAGCGCATAGCGATGTGTCGTCTATCTTTCGGATTGGGATGATGAGTGTGTTTGGAAGCACTTTTAAGTGTAACATACATACTCAACTTCATGTCTTAGTGCATTAGCGCTATGATACGTGGAGTTTTGTTCATTGGCGTCTTAGTGGCGTGCTACTATGATACGTTGGTGATATTTTTTATATAACAACAATGCCAACTTTGTTACCAAAGTCGATAGGGATCATGTGGGTGTGTTGTGAGGGGCCGCCATCCGTATGATAGTTGCATATATGCTTACTGCTACTTGCGGTATTGCGTCTTGTGATGGATCTGCAGGTGTGCTGCGCCTGATTCGACGCTCTCTTGTGGTTTTGGTCGATGGATGTATATGGGTGGTAACGTCTGCTGGGATGTATGGGGGACCTTGGAATGGTGTAAGCCCGACGATAGTCGTATTGATGCTTGTTGCGTTCTGCAGCATTGCGTCTCTGCGATGGTTGTTTGGTGGGACGCTATTCTCAATGGCGCTCTCTGCGTCTTGGTTTGACTCACACCTAAGTAGCTTTGCCCAAGTCGGGTCCCTTCATTGCGGGGATACAGACTGTCTGCCCTTCACGATGTTTTATATAACAACGTAATATTATATCTCTGTAACTTTCCCACCTTTGAATGATTGAAGGCAACTTGTTGGTGGGTGAGACAAACATGATCGAAAATGCATTTACTCAACGTCAGTGACACAAACCCTTTCTGATGGCGAATTATTACTCTTATCTTATAACTGCCTTTTGGCCTTATCTGCCGTTGTATTGGTTGGTGGAGCATATGTGTCGACCTCATGCGGGTGGTAGCTGGCGGGAGGATCTGAGGAGACTCTCAAGGCTGCGGCCGAAAGCCGCACAACGTGGGACCCCATTCCCTTGAGGTGAGCGGTAGACTCATGACACGCTCTGCGGCTAGTAGCCGTGCTGATCATGCAACTGGTGGTGATGCCATACACTTACATCACGTCTGCAGGAGCGGCGGTCTGGCAGGTGGTGGCACTCACGGAGGGTTTACGGCCAGTGTGCCTATTTGCCTAAACCGTGTGACGTACATTCACTGTGGCTGGATTCGTTCGTATTCTGTTTGGCGTTTACACGCATTGACATACGCGACTTCGGTCGATGTTTGTGCTTACGCACTAGCAAGGGGCCAAGCCTCTTTTACTGGTTCGCCAGTTATTTTGCTGTGGACTACGGTCCAGTTCCCGAATTAGTTTCCCCTTCGGGGGGAGTGCATCAAAATGGTTGGCACTCACCGTGCACGGCGTGTGTGGGGCCGTGTACCTCCCCTACATTTTTTTAAATAAATGTAGGAGAGCGAAGCCCTTGTATCGGGTATTTTGTATAAATATATTTTGAGCCTTTTCCGAGCGGGAAGGGATAATTAATAATGTAAACCTGATGCAAGTGGAATAGGGACGTTTTATGTTCTTAACCTTTTTTCGAGCCCTGTCTTCGTGAACGGGGTTCACTTAGCTTATAAGGCACTACCAACAGCTTTCAATTGCTCTAGTGAATATTCATTCTTCCAAAAGACACCTAAAAGAATTAAGTTACTAAACAAACACAACGTAAATAAGGGTCCTAACTAAGACGATCACGCCAAAATATTAAAACCGGCCTTTTAATAAACCTTTTGAAAGATCATTTAGAAAGATCAAAACATATTTTATTTATCCTGGTCACATATATATAAGTTTTATTATAAAGGGGAATATAATACATTTAGTATTTTATTTATTTATTATTATAGAGGGGGGGAGATCGTTACAATAGGTTGGACTGAAATTATCTTCCGTCCTAGTGTCGACCGTGATCACACGTATTTTTTGTTGTAAAAATAAATTTATGAAATATTAATTTGCGAATTTAAATTACTACGAGTACCAGGCGCTCATAAACGATAAAGTGCTGTGCAAGTGTGGGAGCAGTAGTGCAATATTAATTGCGGTCTGTTGAACGAGTGAGATATAATATCACAGTAAGACCGGTCTTTGTGCAACATAACGTTGAAAATTGTATCACTTAAACTTTGAACCTAAGAAAATTCTTCCTAATAATGAGCCGACTCACAAGAAGCCCTTCATCAAGTGGGCCAATACCACACACTGCGTCAGATTCTGACGTCTCTTTGGTTGGGCATGCCCAAGAGCACAAGCCATACGTAACCCAGCGAACAAAAAGATTAAGAGAGCCATGTTGCGAAGATATATTTTTGAATTTCAAAGAAGAGTCGAAATCTATGATTAAAGAAATGAGTGAAAGCCAAAATCATATTCTCAATGATCTTACTAAAGATGTAGCCGAAATAAAAATTCAAAATTCTAAAATTCAACAGTCTAATCAGGAGATTGAAAAATCTCTGCAGTTTCTATCTGATCAATTTGACGGTATGTTGGTAAGAGTGGAAACTCTAGAACGAGAACGCAATGAACAGCTATTGTATATCTCTTCACTTGAAGCAAAAGTTGAAGACATGCAAAGATTGCTGAAATCAACTACTGTAGAAATTAGGAACGTACCGTGTTCTACTAGAAACGATAACAAGTTGGAACTTACTAATATAGTACAAAATACCTGTAAAGTCCTTGCTGTTGATTTTCAACCGAGTGATGTTAAGGACGTCTTCCGCATTAGGGGAAAATCGGGGACATCTACCCTTGTAGTGGATTTCTTGCGAACAAAGACCAAACAGGAATTAATTAAAAGTGCCAAGCTTTATAACAAAACACACCCAAATGAAAGGCTTAACTCAACTCTTATAGGTTTAGGTGGACCATCTATACCTTTATATTTATCCGAAGGTCTTACACATAAAGGTCGTAGATTACTGTATCTGGCGCGGGATTTTGCTTCAACTGCCAAATTCAAATACTGTTGGACGAGCAATGGGAAAGTTTTTTCTCCGCAAAACCGACGAATCGCCGCACATTGAAATAAAGTGTGAAACAGACCTGGTAAAACTTAAAAACATGAAATGACTATTAATAATATTACTGTGCTACACATACTTTCAATTTTTTTTAAATTTTATTTTTACTTATACTTGTTTTACATAATTGCATGCTTCTTAGTTTAAGTTTTAATTCATACTTAATCAGAAAATTTTACACTAACATATTCATAGTAATCTTTGTAAACTCAGCTAATTTATCGTCTAAAACTAACTTAAATACTAGAAAGTCTTATAGAGTTAACTTATTGATTTCCACCAAACTGCCGATATTGGTGTCATTGCAAATAAATAATAAAATTCGAGGGCATAAATAACTTGTACATTACAAATGACATTGATAATATTATAGCCGGAAAGTCTTATTTATGTGACCCAGAGTCTTGCAAAACAATATTAACTTCTACGTCTACTAACCAAACCTTTAAAGTATTGACCCAAAATATCAGAAGTATAAATCGCAACTTTGATGAATTTAAAGTTTTACTTGCTAGAATTAATTTAAATTGTGAAATATATATACTGACAGAATCTTGGAATAAAATTACTTCTTATTTTCCAACGATTCCAAACTACGACTCGTTTTATACTAAAAATAATATAAACCAAAATGACGGACTAGTTGTATATATTAAAGATGGACTTACTTGTACTGTTGAGGAACCAAGCTTCGATGGAGGTAGTTGCCTAATAATAAAAATAAATGTTGATACACTCATAATTGCCCTATACAGATCTCCATCTCAGAGAAGTATTGCTGTATTTATTGACTCGTTGGATAAGCTATTGTCCTCACACAAGTCTTATAAAAATGTCATTATAATGGGGGATATAAATATAGACGTAAAGCCTAACAATGAGGATCAAAATTCGCATGATTATTTAAACCTACTTGCGAGTCATGGATTTCTCATTGGTCATACTTACCCAACTAGAGGAGCAAACTGCCTTGACCATTCTATGGTAAATACTAATAGATCAGTAACTACCTTGGTTTTAAATACACCGCTCACAGATCACAGAGCAGTCATTTCATGTTTGGAATCAACATTTAAAAACTACCAAAAAAGGGAGTCTGTACTGATTAAAGTCAATTACGAAGGAATTCTCAAAGATTTGGATGCAACCAATTTTGAAGAAATTTTTATGTCCATGGACGCAAATTGGGCTGCTGAGAGACTCGTAAATATTCTCTCAAATTACCTAGCCAGCCATTCAACTAGAATCTTAGTACCACGTAGATTTCGTTGTCTTAAGCCCTGGATCACACCAGGGCTGCTACGTTGCATCAGAAACCGAGACAGGATGCACTCTAAAAGTAAAGCAGATCCCAAAAATGAAATTATGCAAACAATTTATAAAAGGTACAAAAATTATTGCAACGATCTGCTCAAGCGATTAAAAAGAACCTATGAACAAAATGAGCTGAAAAAGCATTCTAATAATCCTAAAAAGACCTGGGACACCATTAAAACTATTGTTCATATAAATAAACAGAAGGCTATACCTAAAGACCTACTTCGTATATCTGACACTCCTCAAAATTCTGTTGAGCATATCAACAACTTTTTCGCTAATATTGGGGAAAAATTAGCAAATAAATTAGTTAATGTACGTACAAGTGACCAAAGAACGGTATCTAACTCGAATGCACCCTCTCCTGCAAATTCCATGACTATACTTGAAGCTACCTGTGAAGAAATTAAAGCCATTATTATAGGGCTTAAAAATGACAGCGCTACTGGTTGGGACGGTATATCCAACAAACTTTTAAAAATTTGCAACAATCATATAGTACCTGTCTTAACACATATAGTGAACCTATGCTTAACTACAGGTGTATTTCCACAAATATTTAAAATATCGATTATCCATCCTATACATAAATCTGGCCCAAGAGACTGCATCAACAATTACCGTCCTATCTCAGTATTGCCAGCCCTATCAAAGGTTATAGAAAAGGTAATAAATAAAAGATTAATATGTTTTTTGGAAAAGAATGCTCTTCTATCAAACAATCAATATGGTTTTAGAGCTGGCCAGTGTACTTCTGATGCAGTTACTGGATTATCAGATTATCTTGCTCAGCAAATCGATAAGAAAAATAAATGTATAGGTGTATTCTTAGATCTTGCAAAAGCTTTCGATACAGTCTCTGCATCCATACTTCTAGATAAAATGCATAAAATAGGTATACGCGGGAAACCATTATGTGTGTTTGAAAGTTATATTTCTCACAGAAGACAAAGGGTAAAGATTGGTGACCTGACTAGTCTAGATTCTCCAATCACTTATGGCGTGCCACAAGGCAGCGTCCTCGGCCCTAGCCTCTTCTTAATATACATAAATGAATTATGTAATCTTAATTTGAATAATTGTAAGATCTTTACATTTGCCGATGATACAGTACTAGTTTTTCATGGTAAAACTTGGGAGGAAACTAGAATCAAGGCAGAAATGGGATTGCAACAGGCAACGCAATGGCTTCAAAAAACATACTGACACTAAATGCATCGAAAACTAAGTTTATTACTTTTGGTATAGCACAAAATAGCATTCCTAGTGAAATACACATTAAAGCCCATACTTGTAATAATATTCATCCACATATAACATCATGTCAGTGTATAGTATTAGAACGTACAACCACAATAAAGTACCTTGGCGTAATTCTGGATCAAACTCTAACGTGGATACCACAAATTAAAATGATATCAGAAAAAATTCGCAAACTAATTTATATTTTCAAAACATTGCGGCATGTTGCTGACAATGAACTTTTAAAATCAGTCTACTATGCCATGGCCCAATCCGTAATATCATATTGCATAAGAGCGTGGGGATGTGCTAAAAAATCTCATATAATAAGAGTTGAAAGGGCCCAACGCGCGTTACTTAAGGTTATGACTTTTAAACCATACCGATTTCCCACTGCTGTATATTGTATGCTCCCACTGCTGTATTGCTGTGTATTATATATTGTATACAACGTGCGATGTGCTGACGGTAAGACAACTGTACGTAGTTGATACTATCTTATCCCAACACAAGAAAGTCTCTTACGACCCAAAACAACCCCAAATACGAAGGAAGGACGGAGTGTGTCCTAATATTCCCTTTAGGACTCACTTTATTAAAAAGTTTCAATGTTTTATTGGTCCTTTTCTATATAATAAAATTAACCGAATGATTAATATACATCCGCTTAACAAATACAATTGCAAAAAAAAGTTGACAGTTTGGCTTAAATCACAAACTTATGACGACATTGAAGATCTATTTACAATAAAAAAATGAGCTGAGTCCTAAAATTTAAACTTAAATTAAAATAAAACAATATTAAATAATTATAAACACCTATTAACACGTTATTAAAAAGTAGTAATTTGTAAAACGTTTAAGTGTATATCCTATGTTCATTTACTTAAAGGAAGAAACTAGCATTTAAGACACAGGCTTGGCCTAGTTTAAATGCTAGCAATTTTTATCTTATAGTGTACACTTTTCGTTCCAATGTTCCAAATATTAAGATTTACTCAATTAAAAATAAAATTTCAATTTTGTACTATTAAATACACAACATAAATAATTACATTCTTAATAATGTTCACAGTTATAGTGGTGAAACTTGTTTCTTGTTCGAATGAAACTACATCTTATGCATTCAAGTTTTTATTGTTTAAAATGTTTGTTCTACCCGAAACTTTAATCTTAAGATTAGATTATAAGTGTGTACTAAATTTTGTTTATCAATAAACATTATTATTATATTATTATTATTATTATTATTAATAATTAATATATACTAGTTTTTTTTTGTTATTACGAAGACACTCCTGACTATCTCCCGGTTTGTTTTTCTCTGTCACTTATCAAGACACCCATGGAATGATATGTGGTAGTTGATATTTTTACACCACCACTACATGTTAACCACGTGCTCGGCGGTTAAGGAAAACATCATGAGGAAACCTGCATGTCAGAGGAATAAGAAAAAAAAATATATTTCGAAGACATGTGAAGTTCACCAACACGCATTGGGTCAGCGCAGCGGACAATACCTTGCCCTAAAACCCTCTCAGAAATGAGCGGCAGGCCTGTGCCCAGCAGTGGGATGTAATATATAGGCTGCAACTTTACTTAACTTTACTACATGCTAAAATCACTATATATAAAACGCATAAAATGTAAGCAAGTACTGGTTAAATATGCCATTGGAACGTCAAACATCTCAGTTGTTCCCGTATTCATAGGTACCGGAAGGCACTGGAAATATCGGAAGTTTATTTAAAATTATTCCTGCGTTTTTACACTCGTTTTCAGTTTGGTCATTTCTTAAACCTAATTACATCTTGCAAACTACACTTTCTCATATCACACAATTTCTTAACCTATCATTTAGAGTCAGCCAACATGCTTTTTCTGTTACACTCAATTTTCAGGACTATATATTAAGGTAGCAACACCAAGTTAGACTAACACGGCATTGTGCAATAGTGATGTGGCACTTTTCCTCTGTATTTTGCATTTCACATTATAAGATAGATAGATGCTAAATGTGTACCTAACTGATACTGCAGTAGCCCGTAAATGTGCATGCATTTTAGAGAAAAAAGACAGAAGTGTTGTGATGCCCGAGGTCTAAAACAAAATGCCTCGCAGACTGTTGTTATACTGGCTCTATTTCTGGAAATTCTGTAATTTGAAATAAATTTACTAAACTTTCCTTTGTAAGGTATAAAATGCGCATGGAACTAGAAGTAGTAGATAGGTCTTTAATAGTATGCTTAAAGCTAGCAAACGTTTGTTTTTGAGCTCTAAGGCATATTTGTTTCCTACGGCTTTATTTAACTTACGCTTTAAATATCGCAGCTAGATACTTGAGCTATTCCTACATCATTAAAAGATTTATTTGACGGTTTCGTGGCGGAGTCAACGCTAAACTATTGAGTTGAGTTTGGATCCCGCACGGAACAAGTATT